TTTTATTAACTAATAAATTTTTTCTGAAAAAGTAAGAAGGAAACTTAAGCATAGAAAATTAATGCAACTTATAGCAATTAATAGAATTTTAAACCGACATAGTTAACTAACAAAGGCCATTAATAAATAATTTTTTATAAAGTTTTTACTGGTAATTTTTCGTGAAAAGTATAATCTATAAGTTGCATTTAATTTTCTATGCTTAAGTTTCCTTCTTACTTTTTCAGAAAAAATTTATTAGTTAATAAAAAATGTGAAAGTAAAAATTATCCTTCTTTACATTTTGCGCTCACAAATCTTTATGGGAATATTCATTTACAGTTATTAACGCATGTTTGCGAAAAGCATGTATGAAAAAAGCATGTCTGCGATGTTATCGTCAAGCAATGATTTGTAGATACTTTATTTTTTACTACGATATTTTCGACGACGATGTTTTTAAATTGCGAAGTTTTTGAACCGCTTTATTTTCGACGACGATGTTTTGTACCACGATGTTTTAGAACTGCGATGTTTTCTCTTTGCGATGTTTTCTCCCACGATGTTTTGTAGCACGACGTTTTCGCCTTGCGTTGTTTTCTCCGCGACGTTATCGTCCGCGATGTTTTTGCCGCGATGTTTTCGGCTTTAACCAAACACCGAAATCTGGAGAATGTCGACTTTCACCGGTGAATGTCAACATTCACATAGTCGCTTGGTGTATGTCCGAAATATTTTCCAAATACTCTTATTTCTGACTTACACCGGTGAATGTCGACATTCACCATGTACTAAGGGTGAATGTTTGAACATATAAGAATATTATATTTTCCTTCTCCTCTAATTCATTCGCGAAAAAACGCACTTGAGACTTAAAAATAAGAACTTAAAACACACTGGGACATTCAAGAATGAGAAACTTAAGTAATATTTATAAGTTAAAAACTTAACATGCAGTACGTTCTAAATGAGAAAAGGAAAATAATAGAAGTTATAAAAAACTTACCAAATTATGTGATTCAAATCTTATTTATTGCAACAACTTAAACTATTATGACACTTTGAATTGCACAAGAGGCCCTTGCTTTTACAACTGCATTTATTTGTGGAACACTTCCTTTTTGGAATGGCAGCGTGTACATATACTCTTCTCTTTTCGACCTACACCAGAGCATATCTGTGATTGTCGACATACACCGGTGAGGGTCCAAATGTACAAGAATGTAAAGAAATATTCGATCTTTCACTGACGTATTTGGTGAATGTTGACATTCTCCGGTGAAAGTCGACATTCTCCAATTTCGGTCTTTCACGGTAACATATATATATGAAAAGTACATTCTGTTACGTATTTTTACATTATTATTACATATTTTTCTTCTTAACTAGTTTATTACATTGCTTGTTACGTATATATGCATGTCCCTGTTTAACTAAAATTCGTATTTATCTCTGTGTAAAATTAAACCCCGATGTTTCACCTATTGAGTAACTTGGGAGTATTGCCGTATTTCTTTATTTACTGTTACTAATAAAGCAAATTTAGAAGAATTTCAGTTGATCGTTACTTTCAGAGTTTTTTCACGGTTTCGGGGTTTCATTGCTAATAATTCATTTTAGGCTGTTAAAAAAACTTTTAATATCTCAAATCCACGAATAATTGCGTACGATAATGGGTTTTGGGACATACTCGGACATCTCCAATCTGCATCTGAAAATAAAATTTTATTAAAACATAAACGAAACCTTTAGTCAATTAATATTGTTGCATGCATACGGGTTTATGATGGATTGAATGCACAAGTCTGATAATAGATTAATAAAAATTTATTTTTATTAAAAGAAATATTTCAGAACTGTGGCATTTTCCACAGCAATATGCGTATAAGTGTTCACAGTATCATACAGTATAATAAGTAGTTATACTTCAAACTACTGAAAACGTTAAATACAGCGAAACGCAAAATGCATCTAAAGAGAAAGCTAACTCCAGCATCTCAGTTCACGCGGAACTAAGCAACTCGCAACAACAATAACTAAGAAACTGAAAGCAGATGATCTCTTTTCGGCCTTAAATAGTTTTCAACCGGCCGCGAGATATTTCGAGTAATTTCTGTTTCTCGAAATTACTGTAAAGCAATACGAGGTTGGAATTACAATTGCAGCTAACATAGTGATCGATTACATTCATTCAATTTCAATACAAATTACCAAGATACCCATTTACGCAATGTTAAATGTACGCGTCCCTGTAATCTTACTTTTCCGGCAGAGCGAGAAAGCTCTTAAAATTTGTCTCCCGCTGCATTACACAGAAAATTACAACAATTTTAATTATAATTCTACTAAAATTACCTATTTAAATTCGAAATTCGCAACATTATTTTCTTACATTGCATCTTTGTTGGTTTATAGTGGAATCCTTAAATCGAATTGTTTTGATTTTACTATTGCATTAAAAAAAGTGAGAGTAATCGAAAATAATGTAAATTGGTTTCCTTTAAGAGTGAGCCCTGAATAAAAGAATGTATGCATAGATTATTACAGAGCTATCTGCACATACGTGGTAGAAAATAAACCATCTGGGCTGTATATCTAAAGTAACCTTTGACGAAACATAGATCAGTTTAACATAAGATAATGCCCACCCGAAAAAAAGTCAAGCCAAACAATGGTTTCGAAAAGCAAAATATAGGCCAAAGTTGCATGCGCAGAAATTTTGAAACTGATCTCATATGCACTGCAACGAAGGCTTCTTTTTCATATTCTTGGAGCCAACAGAAATTATAACTCACGAATATGATGTGATATTATTTATAAATCACAAATACAATAAAACTTCTCGTGACGACAACTTCCCGTAGATGACAACCTCTGAATATCACCAGTATTTAGGATACATACATAAACATCAGTTTTGAATGGGATCCTTCTGAGACAACCACCAAAGCAGAAGACAAAAATCATCTGAAAACATGGCTAGTCTTCTTAGAGGGAGTTCGCTGTAAAAGGAATTATCGCAGCTTATCATAACCTGCTTTTGTGGTGAAAGTGATTAACATGTCCAAAAAGCACTTGGAAGATTCATGTTATCCTGCTCTGAAAACAAAAAATTATCTACAAAATAACCCGACCTAAACCAGAAAAAAAATGTAATTTATCACCATCTGGATTTGTTTATCTGGGTGTCCTGCATGTACCCAATCGCCTGGTAAAAAGAGGAAGAATGTAAGAAATTATCTCATATTCCCGTTATGTTGTGGTGGTATAGCTGATCAATAGGTCTCAACCAGCAAAGCAATTAAAAGATTCATGGTTCGAGTTCTATCAAAACGAACAACTGATTTTTAGTATTTCAGTGCTCCTGTAAAACTAAGCTTCTCTGTAAATGCGATAAATTACACAATGACGATAGTTTTATAGTTTCAGAATATGGATTCCTGGCTTCTCAAACAAAAGCATATCATCCTGTTGCTTGAAGAAGAAGAAATACGTTACTGGCGTGCAGCTGTAAAGAGCTGGACTGAGATCTACAACACTGAAAGTTAGATTTAACCCTTTGTGGCACAGTGTGTCCAGTCTGGACACACCTAAAAATTCCCTTCTGTACGCACAGAAAAATTGAATGAAAAAGGATTTATAGGTTACCATAGGTTACTCTGAACCTTCTTTATTTATAGTAGATGGCAGCTTAACACAAACCAGTCCATATATTCTTAGCCACGTTTAGTTTTTTAAGACCCATCATTTTTGAAAGAAATCTTCCAGATTTATTTTAGGGTATAAAAAGGAATTGTTTGAAAAGGAAATTTCTATGTTATATTTTTGGACTGTATGCTAATCTCTTTATCATATTATTAGTTTTAAATTTTTAACTTGAAATCTTGCCTTAAAAAAAAAAAAAAAGGCGAACCCTAGGTGTGCCCAGACCGGGCTCACGATAATCTAGGACAACTGAGAGTCTGCATTCTTTGTTTCTCCGCATCTCATCGGTCAGTTCATTGACAACAATGCTCGTTTCAGCACTCTTTTCGAAGCTGTATTCAATCAATGTGCCCACTTTGGGCACACCCACAGAATTAAACGATAAGTGCTATCTTCACAAAATTTTACTTGTGTACTCCTCTAGCCCTAATTAGACTGCCTACTTTTTTTTTTCTTCCAAAACTCGAACTTTAAAAGTTAGCGTGCCAGAAAGGGTTAAGGAAGTTTTTGTATCATTAAAAATAAAGTTATGCTATCATGAACCTATTGTACATTTACCTTTGCAAGTGTTGCCACCTCGTGAAACTTAAGATATTTAATTTACCATCTACGCGGTCTTATGCCCAGTTTTCGGAAAACGTAATACGTTCGGATAAAAGTAAGTTGTTTGCTTTTCGAATTTAATTCATATGTAATCGTTTTAAAAATGAGAGATTTAAAAGGAATAAATGTATTTCTTAAAGATTTAAATCTGTATTTTTATCTTTAAATGTGTACAACTGATAAAATACACGTAAGTGTACTATAATTACTAAACAATGTTTCTGTCTTACATTACACATTTGATGCAAAATAGTTTATCCTTTAATTATTTTTAGGGTTAAAATAACATTAATGCTTCACTTAAATACTTATAGTTGTATCTTTATTCATGTGAACGATATCAAGTGATGAATTGAATGTTTATTCATATGAATTGAGGTTATAATCAAATGTGTTTGTTTTTGTTCAATATGTTATTCTTGTTTGTTCAAGTGAATGACATTGAATATGTACTCATATGAATAAAACTGTAATTATACCTTGTTCACATGAATGAACTTTTACTCATGTGTTTTTTCCTAAGGATGACAATGAATATTTGTTTGTTAGAGATTTAGATAAAACATTCATTTAACGGTGCGCAGTGAATGGAATGAAGGTAAAAGTTAATGAATTAAATAACGTGCAGTACTGAATTTAATTTAGTGTTTGGCCAAATACATAGGAGCAGCTGCAATATATCATAAAAATAGTTTCAGCAAAGATAAAAGGAATGATGATGATATTATCTTTATTATATCTCACAGAAAACATATAATAATCAAAATCATTTATTTTTTGTACTATAGAAGGAAAATGATCCGTCACATCGCAAATCAAAGACTTCATCCAAGATGTACCACAGCAGGAATTTTTAGCAAGTGAACTTAACTGCATTCGTTGTGATTGATTTCAATGTATTCATCATTCTGACACGCAGATATTCCATTCATCATTCTTATACAATGTCCTGGATACGTTTTCGTCTGAAAAAGATAAATTATTCAACAACGGAAATACTGAATACTTATAATTTATGAAGCACGTTTACTTATAATTTACGTTTGATTCATATTGAAATTTTACATTTAAGAAATTAGTATTGTGTTACAGTATGCTCCTCTTTTCCAACTTAACACGCTGTGCTTGCTTTAAATTGAGATTTTCAGGTTTATTCGCTAGTATTAGCTACCATTTTTTTTCTTTTCCAACCGAGTTCAAGAAGTACTTTGCACTTTGCACCACTGAGTCGGCTTCCGATCTAAGGTGATACCAAATGGAAAAAGCTCACCCAGTGGAAATTTTATTTAAAATACTATCCATCCCCCACCACAGGGTAGGGTTGGCAGATCAACGACATTTAAAGAAAAATTTTTACAGAACGCTTTTACAATGAATATTTTGTAGTATTGAATGTTATTTAGTCCTCTTTTCATTTACATGCTACGTTGAGCTAATTTTGATATGTACAATAGATATACGTAGTATGAAGTTTAATAGTTCAGTTTAATAGATTCGGTAAAAGTTCAATAGATTAGAGTAATCTAGAGTTCTAAAGTTCGGTAAAGTAATAAATCTAGAGATCTAAAGTTCGGTAAAGTTCAGTATTAAGTTCTTTTGATTGGAGATTTAGTAATTCTGTAAATAAAGTTCGTTGTTTCAGATGATTGTAATTACAGAGGGTCTCAGATGATTGATATAGTACAATTCAGTTCCGATTTGAATCTAAACTTTGGTCCGAATATTATAGTCATTTTTAGAAATGATTGTGGAATTTAGTTAGTTTAGATATATACATAATAAATAAATAAAGTGTATCATAGATTCTAATGTTTAACATTAGAATACGAAAATAAATTAGTTGAGGAAAATAGTTTCAAATAGATACTGGGGGGGGGAATTATAACCTCTTATCTGTAACCAATATCTTTAATAAGTGTTTTTTTAATGTGTTTAAAGACTTTACCTTCTAACTTGTATTTTAAAAAGGCCTCTGGACGTTACCTTAGCTACAAAGATAGATGAAACAATTAATTATGTTTTCGTTTAATTCTTATTTGTTTCAAATAATTAACTGTTTGCTTCGAAAATGCTTCAACAATGAAATTTTTTTAATCATAATTTTCGTATTGCCCACTCATTGCCCATTGAGCCAGCAATGTCCCTTTAGATCTTCTCGATATTTATGGTGAGAAAACGGGCTCTTTATGGTGTAAAATATAATATAATGCAAAAAGTTTAGGAGGAATAGACAAATGTAGGAGATAATTACTTCTTGTATGCGTAAATGGCACTGAGCCTCTTCTTCCGATCTTAAATTACGTCTGAAGATGTCTGGCATTCCTGATGCTTTCTCAATAATTCCTTTTCTGAGTTTTGAGAGATCAAGATCATGCACGGTACCTAAAAACACGCCAGGATCTCGTTCAAGCTCTTTTCTTATTGGATGATCCTGGAAGGAAAAAAAATCAGTTTAGTAGCCATTATGCTGCAGTTTATTTCCTTCCAATATGGTCAGCATAAAATTACCAGAATTCCAAATATATATACATATAATCAAAACGTCTTATGTGTTACCTTTATTTCTTAAATATCATGTTCTTTGCACTTAAACCATAAAATTTAGTTCAACAGCAATGTCGTAAAATAATTTTAAAATAAGCATATCTTTAGAATTTCCGATACACAGTTTCGCGCGCTGGAAATAAAAAAGGTCCCCCCCCCGTAGAGTGTTCCCATTGCTCGCTTTGAAATCCTTGAGTTTGTTAATCAAAAATTCGTTAAAGTTTCACAAAATATGAAGTCTATAATGAAACAAATTTCAAATTTGGTCTTCCACATGCCCATATTCGTAGGAGTATTATTACGTCATTCAAAATTCGATGGCTCTATCACGATGGTTTTATCACAATGCGAGAAATATAAATACATTTATGCAGATTTCTTATTATTTAATTCCTTCAAATATAATGCAGGAATCTAAAATTTGGTGGCAACAGTTTGAAAAGTGAAACAGATATTTATAGTGATTCAACGCAAAATCGCAAAACGAAAACAATAGTCCTTCAGGGACAAGTCACTTTTGGCTAAAAAAAAAAAGAAATGTCTTGTGAATTTCTTGTGTACTGTGCGTAGTAAGAATATTTCACAATCATTAAGCTCATTAATGTTAATTTCAGCATACATATTTAGCTTTTTTATTTGCAATTAGAGCGGAGCTTTAAAAACACGCCTATAAAGTGCGAGTATTTCCATTTAAATTGGCTTTCAATTTGCGGCATGATAAACTAAATGTTTGAAGATTCTCTCATTTTTAAAGATTTTTATAGTTTCACTTTAATGATTTATAGTCTCAGATGCCGAGCCTATTAAAAAGAAAAAAATTGGGTATTTCATTCAGAATATTTGTAGCTCTTCCAGATAAGTTCAAAAAGTTAGAATTTTTGTTTTCTGGGGAAAAATATATGCTAAAAGGTTTCAGTTTCAAAATTTTGTGGAGTATTTTTTTTAAGAGGAAAAGATGTGTAGTCTGTGGAAAGCATGTATGTATATAAAAAACCAACAGTGGAGTAAACAATAAGAAATAATAATTTAAATACTTACTTTACATCAAGTATTTCTGAAGAATAAAGCTAGAAATACATAATTTTGAGAACTCAAGTATTTGTCTAATGCTTGTGGCTGAATACTGGATATTCATACAACTCAGCTTGCAAAGGAACAATTTTATAATGTTCATTCTTTATCCTTTCCACTTTTATTTAGGGCAAATATATGAAAATAAAACTGAAATGTCATAACTTATGGATCTTTTTTTATATCTCTTGAAAGAAATGTCTCAATGGGGTAATTTGCTTCATTGAGACATTTCTTTCTTTGAATACTGTTCCAATGCAATTTTATTCTGCATTTCGTATTAGTTAGAAATAAACTAAGCCATTAAACGATTATTCTTCCTGTAAGAATTTCTTGCTTTTTCCTTAAACTATTTCAGATATAAATTATTTTTCCCTCCTTTCTGCATGCCTTCGGGGTGTAACGGTAGCAAACTCGGCGCATATTCGAGATGTCCAGGTTCAAGCCCGGCAAGGGCATTGCTCATTTTTCACTTCTACAGCATCAAAAAATCTTTATCACTCTACAGTGGCGTCCAAACTTAAAGGTGATGGATCATAATTCTTCACCACCAGATTTGCCTATGGGACCCCCTAATCCCCAGTCGCCTTTTAAAAGGGGAGTGTATAAGGTATTTTCTCCCCCCTTTCTGCATGCTTTCGTGGTGTAACGGTAACGCATTCGTCAGGACCAGGTTTGAGTTTCGGCAAGGTTATTGCACGTTTTTCACTTCTCCATCATCACAAAACTCTACAAAGCTAGAAATTTAATATGGCATATCCTATTATTCGATTTTTTATCTTCCACTTACTGTTATACCAAGTTTTTACAAACTAACGCTCTAAAACTTTATTAATGAAAACTTTTGCATACTTGCTTCGTATGTGCATAATGGTAAAAATTTTAATTTCTTCAATCTGTCGTTGAAAGTACTGCAAACAAATTAAATCAAACATTAAAATCAACATTTTCTCTTCATCATACGAGCACGTAATCGATTTGATATTTGTGAACTTTGTGTCTGCAGATCAAAATAATATCTCAGACGAAAGTTAAAAGTATGTGCTATGGGACTTGAAGGACACTTAATAAGGATGCCCAAGAAAGTGTGACAGTGTTACATGGCGAATTCGGGAGATTAGAAGGAACTGAATAATTGCGGTACACCTCTTGGTTTAGGATACTTATGATTTCAAAGCATAAACATTTTCGGGCAGCCGACTGAAGGAATACTGTTATACAATCGCGGGTCCCAACATAAAGCATCCTACAGTGTTCATTGTTCTGTAAGAATTCAGACTGCAGACTTGAAATATATAGGAGTAGCATTGCACTATTGGATTATGGAATGTCTGATGGGTTCAGAGATACTTGGCATGACGACATCAAGCATCTTCTTAATGCAGTTGATGGATGAATGAATATGCGCAATGAATTCTTCTGTAACGTTCAAGGACTCCTGGTATACAGACGGTTTCACATCGATTTCGAAGATGAAATTGGTGGATTTCAAGTCTGGCGACGCACAGATGCCAAGAATAAGTTATGGGTATCCCTTCATTTGGTCATTCGAAAAATGACGACACAAGATTTGAAGTTACAAATCATCCAAACAAAGCAGTTCCGGAGATATGAACGGTATACCAAAATCATTCGAAGACATTTAATTCCTTCTAACAGTACAAATGTTTGTACAAATGCATCATGTAGAGATGCCTTTATTTTTCTGGGACACCTTGTGCATAAATTTCCATGACCGTCACAAACTCTATTAATGCTAGGGCAGGTAGTATGAGTAATTGATGTAAAGGAAATTTGTGTGTTCCTGCTCTGTAATTAAATAATTACTGGATAGGATTATTATAAATATAATAGGTGTTTGTCTGAAATAGACAATCCAGGTGACAAAAGATAAAAATTTAATTTAAAAATATCAAGTCAATAGGTTACTTACGTTAACTAATTAGTTAACGTTACTATCGAATTTTGTGTAGATATTATGGAATTACATGCAACATTTTCAACATCTAATTTCTTTCTGGATGTCTGTCAATATATTTAGAGAACCAAATATGAAAGGAAATTTTGGTCTAGCAATGTATTTCGAAACAAAACAATAAATGAAAAGAAATTTTGTGATTTAAAGAAAGAACAGAAAATAAAGAAGAGCTTTTACAACTGAATAAGTACTGTGCTTCATTTTTACAGTACTGTGTATTCGATTTTTTAACATGAAAACTTAACATTAAATACAGCAATCTATTCTGCATCTTACAAAGAATAGCATGGAACACTCCTGTGTACTCCTATGTTAGAGTCTAATGTAGAACTTATTTCATTTTCTTCTATAAGAAATATCTATTCATAAAAAGAACAGATTTATCCTCGCCATTAAAGAGCAGCAAAAGTTAAAGCTTTTTATGAATACTAATGTTTTTTTATTTATTTAATCATTTTATAAATTAATGTACACGAGTGACATTTAAATGTTATCCCGACAAGTAACTATGAAATGAGCCATGAGTAAGCTTTATTAATTAAATACGACAGGCAAAAGTTTCTCGCACAAAATTAAAATTTAATCAAGAAATAGTGAAACTTTTTAACTTACTTTTGACATACCTCCGAATTTCATGCCAGTGTCTTCTGTATTACTGAGCAAACGCTGAAGCAGAGAAGGCATGGTGGCATGAACTGCAGAGAGAACTAGCAAGTTGCAAAGGACAAAAGCTCCCATTCCAGACATCATCTAAAAATTGAAGAAAATGCAATTACATTAAATTCATATAAAATTTATATTAGAAATAAATAAACTTTAAATCATTTACACAGCTCTAGAAAGACATGCATATTTCACCAGTTGCGGAAATACAAACGGATTTGCATAGGGGGCATACAAAGCCTATAAGGTATTTCTTCTGCCTTCTTAGCATGCTCAACACGCTCGGCGCGTACTCTAGAGGTCCGTGGTTAGAGCCCCGGATAAAGCGTCGATCGTTTTTCACGTCTTTTCTGCTTCCAAAATATCCTAATGACTCTTCAGTGGTGCCCAAACTAAAAAGGTGGTGAATGATGATTCTTCACCACCAGGATTTAGCGACTGGGTCCCCTAAACCCCAGTTGCCCTTTAAAAGGGGGAGTATATAAGGTATTTCTCCCGCCTTATTAGCATGTCTTCGTAGTGTAGTGGTCAGCACGCTCGACGCGTACTCGAGAGGTCCACGGATCGAGTCCCGGCAAGGGCGTTGATCATTTTTCACGTCTTCTGCTTCCAAAATATCCTAATGTTTCTACAAGTCCATGTACTTCATTACGTGAGTAATGGCTTCTGGGTCTTGCTCGAAAATGTGTCACAGCTTGTGCGACTCCTCCAAAACTTCTTCAGGATATCCTAAAGAGATTGCTTATGGTATCAGCAAACATCCTTAACACATCCTGAAATGTTCCTCTAACTGTCCAAACTGTCCGAAAAAAGTTCTTTCCGAAGCCAATGATGCATTTAAAGATATTTCTATTTATATATTTCTCCTCTAAGATATTTCTCCTCTATGCTCCATTAATTTTTTTTATGTTTAAATCACTGTTTGCTAATGTTCCGGTCGAAGGAGCACTAAAGTTTCAAGAATTCCATTTCACACATACTGGAATTGAAAAGTTAATTTCTCACACTAAAGTATGTTTGTGTCAAATCCACTTTGTTTTCCAAAATGAATACTAGAGCCAGGATGAAGGATTAGCTACGGATAATTTCGTCAGTCCTGCACTTGATAACATTTATATGCCCTACTTATTTGAGGTCAAACTGTTTGAGAAATTTTCTTTTCGTCTCTGGATTCGCTACGTCGTTGACACAATCTGGCCTTCTGATAGTTATAAAGAAGATTTTCCCACATTTTATCTATTATAAATTCGACTGATCGAGCATCTATTTCACTTTTGAAACTGAATCTGAGAATACCCTTCCCATAATTGCTATTCTTATAATCCGAAATGAGTCTGATTTCAGCACTGCTGTTTGCGTAAACCCTTTTCTGTTTGTTTGCGTCCCCATGGTAAATCGTGTCACCCGGTTAAACAAAAAATGGCTTCTTTTTACTATTATGTAGTTGATGCTCTCAACTAATCAACTCAATTATTTTTGATGAACTGCCACTGACCGTGAGTTTTCTCCCGTGGGTATTGATAAAGCCTTTAAAAATTTTCATCTTGCCATCAAAGAAGACTTTCCTCTGTTAGAAATAACATCAATAACATTATCGTGCTTCCACTCATTCGTCTGTCAATTATAAATTGCACGTATACTTCAAAAGTTCAATTTGCAACTCATTTTCTTGCTAAAATATATGGTTCGATTCTTAAAGATTCCATTTCTTACTTTAATTCTTGAGGAATTTACAGCGTATCTTATCAGTGTAGCTTGAGATATATCGGCCAAACTAAAACAGCATTAAAGTTTCGCATCAAAGAACATTAATCGTTTGTTCGGAAAGGCGACATTAACAAGTCTTTGATAACTAATCATACTTGGAAATTTAATCATAATTTTTATTATGGGTCTGCAAATATTATCGAAAAAGCTTCTTCCATTGGTGATTTGAATTTTTTGAAATTTTCTCCATTCCCAAAGATTTATCTTGTTTAGTTAATGATATTAATTAAAATTTAGTCTTTTCTAACGCTTTAAAAATTCTATTAATTTTTCACTTTTCGGTACTATTTCTGCCGACAGATGGCGCTACCTTATCTTTCGCTTTACTCCTGTTAGGTGTAAATACAGGGTGTTTATAAAGTCCCGGACCCATTTTGATGTTTAATAACTCATAAAATAATAAAGATAGATTAAAATTAATAACATAAATGGTTAGATAGACTCAAAAAGTTTCATGACCCTTGTCAATGAGCTTCCACGTGTGCCCTCTTCGTCGCACGGAGAATATCAAGTCGATATTCAATTTCACGCCAGGTATCGCCAAGCATGTCGGCATCCACAGAGGCTATTGCGGTTGTAATTCTGGCTTTTTGGTCATCAATGTTCGACACTCTCCTCTTGTAAACGTTGTCTTTTATAAATCCCCAAAGGAAAAAAGTCCTTAACATTGCAATAGTTGCCAAAAACAAAAAAGAGAAAAATGCAATTAATAAGCAGACGATATTTAGAAAAGTACAGATATTTAGACTGGAAAAATGAAATTAAATCTGAAATTACCACACGCGCAGACGAATTTACAAAAGTAAAGATATTCAAACCTGAAAAGGAAAATATATAAGTTATTCCATCAATAAATGCCATAAGTTTGTTTATATCTTCATTATTTTATGAGTTATTAAACATCAAAATGGGTCCGGAACTTTAGAACTGTGTAATCGTGGCTTTTCGTTCGTTGGCGATATCTTTGCTCCTGATGAAGTGCCCGACCTGTGCCTCTTTGCTGTCGAAATCGATTTAGTCTTGACTAAAATCTACGACAAACGCAAGGTTTGAGCTTTGGTAATTTTGCATACTCATCAGTGCCTAGTGGCATATCTCACTATAGTGTTAGCACATCAAATTTAAGTGGCTTCGATAGCATACGGCATGTTGTGGAGATTCACAATCCTGCTTACCATATTCTCAGGACATTCTGGTATAACTGTAAGACAATATTCCGAGTGTTAATGTTATATCTCAGTACATTCCCAGGACATGTTCGAGTAAATTTGGAAAACCTAAATCACTAGAAAGATAGAGAATAAATATCTTGAGAAAGCTCGACGACGAAAGTCCTCTAGGAAGTGCAGTTGAAAATAACTCAGAATGCCAAACGAGGTAGTTCTCAAGATATGTGAGAATCGACAGTTTCAAGACATCTTCGCATATCCAGATATTTAGCAACTTAAAAATATATCTTAAAATGCCAATTTACTAGAAAAGCAAAGAGAATCAGGTCACTTATCGCTCTGTCCACTCTCTAACTGTACAACACACAGTTTCAAAGTGAAGGTTTAAAATAAACCTATTTATTAATAAGTCAATCTGATGGTTACACTCACGTGAAAATATATAACAGTGAGAGAATCCCAGAACAAACCTTTCCACAAAATATTAATGTACAACACAAATCAGTACACTCGTAACTAAGGCTTGACTGCCTCTTATTCGCGGTTCAGAAGCGGCTTGCCGGAACCGGTAAGTTCAGTTCGGGAAGAAAGGAGGAACAGCAGAATAACAGTCCGCCCGGATTACCAAAAGCTCTCTTTCAAACTCAACTCTGTCTTAATTTGTACTTTAAATAATTTGCATTCTGATGGAAGTTGACGAAAGTAAAGGCAAACTGAGAAGGACACTGGGTCAGTTAAAAACGTAAAACTGTAAAATTTACTAGAAAAATATCCTTAGGCCATCTGAAAATGCATATAATATCCTTAGGCCATCTGAAAATGCATAGAACGCTGGGAATCAAACAGGACTTCCTGAAAATGTTCTATGTTAGGAGAAATCTTAGGCCCTAGCTTATGTACTGGAAGCACCAAAATGAACAGTAAGGGGGCTATTTTGCCCGCATACATTTTACTGATTATCTTGTAAGGTATTTTCCCCCCTTTTAATGTGTGGCTTCATGGTGTAATTGGAAACCACACTCAGCTGGTGATTGGAAGGTTCAGGGTTCGAATCCTGGTGAGGGCACTTCAGGTTGTTCCCTTTTCCTTCGAGGGTACATTTTTCTTCCTGCTCCAAAATAAAATGTGTAACGGTCTCTACAAATGACGGCCTAACTAAATTATGATGGACTCTAATCCGTCACCACCAAGATTTACGTGATTCCGTGATCTCTCCCTTACCAGTCTCCCTTTAAATAAGGGAGAATGCAAGGTATTTTCTCCCTCCTTACCACGTGCCTTCGTTTGAAATTTAAAAGTACGTCCTGATGTTGAAAAGTCCGATGTTCGAATTTTGGTGAAGACACTGCACATTTTCCCCCATCTCCTGCTCTATGTATAATGCTTATTCTTGTGTACAGCTTCATCTGGGAATAGCAGGTATCCTGCACAGTGATCTGTCAACACTAGAAAATCCTGCATGTAACCTAGATTTGGCAGTATAGTTCTGGAGACATTTTCAGTTTCGAAAAGGCAGTTACCCTGTTTATAAAACGATGTGAAATATGCATTTAGTGTGAAAGACTACAGAAAGAGAAATAAAAGTACAGTACCCATAAAGTTATCCGATTCTGAGTAACTGAATTATTGCCAAAACGTTTCAGTCAGACTGTACATATTTTTTGGTCACAGCTACTTTACACGGAGGGGGGGGGAAGGGTGTAGTGTTTTCAAACTTGAAAGGGGGGAGAGCAGAGTTAATTTATTTTTAATGAAAAACATGTTAGCATCATAAACTGGTTTCATACTAATACCAAATTCATACATCAAACAGCAACTTTCGTAAATCATATTAAACACGAATGCAGCTGAAATTTTAGAGAAATAAAAGCATAAGCAGGTACTTGAAGTCAAAGAAATTAAGCGAGAAGATACTGAATTTATATAAAACACAGTAAATAACTTTGTCGTAATAGATGATTCAGAAGAAATATTACAAATCATATTTTACAAACATGAAGAAATATGGAAATTGTAAAATATCTAAATTCTTACTTACTGTTATCAGCTGCGATGGATTCAAAGCAAGTGAATGTATTCAAAAGCTTTATTTCTCTGGTTTATATACTTTTTTCGACACTGTATTTTCCAGTATAACCACCTACAACTTCC